ATTCCATTCATTTATTAACGAGAAAACTACTAGATTCGTTCTCCAAGCAAATTCAAATTCAGGAAGCATATATCACTTCTCCCTGAAGAAGGGACACGCCTCCAGCGACAATGTTGCGGCTATAGTCTCCTCGATAGCGACGCTAGAGGGGAGCAGGGGGCCCTTGAGAAGGCCACCAAACAACTGTCCTGGATCATAGTAGACTTCCACATCCTCAGCTCTCAAGCTATCATCTACATGCGTGGAACAAAATAGTATTGATGTATATTTAAAATATTATAGATTTGAGGGACTAATATTAAAATAGTTCTTAATTTTTTGTGGGGCTACTCATTAACAATGGGATAATCAATCACTAATGTTATTTTTTTACGATGACGACGGAAAAACATTGGCGACGGATTCAATTCGTCACCAATAAGTATTGACGACGTATTCAAATATGTCGCCAATAAGTATTGGTGACGGAACATTGGTGACGAATCGAATCCGTCGCCAATACTTATTAGCGACGAAAACTTATTGGCGACGAAACGAATCCGTCGCTAATAAGTATTAGCGATGAATTGAATCTATCGCCGATAAGTATTAGCGACGGAACATTGGTAATGGATCAAATCCATCGTCAATACTTATTGGCGACGGATCGAATCTGTCGCTAATAAGTATTGGCGACAGATCAAATCTGTCGCCAATAAATATTGGCGACAGATCAAATCTGTCGCCAATAAGTATTGGTGACGAAACATTAGCGACGGATGCTATCTGTCGCCAATGTTTTTCCGTCGCCTAAGGTTATGGGCGACGAAAAACATTGGCGACGGATTGAAATCCGTCGCCAATACAAACATTGGCGACGGGAACAACCCTGTCGCCAATGTTCCGTCGCTAATGTTTGTATTGGCGACGGATTTCAAATTCGTCGCCAATATCCCGTCACCAATACTCAGTTTTCTACTAGTGTGATAAGAAATAAGGGCATCCATAATAAATTAGAGGTTGCTCCTATTGATGATAAAATAAGAGAGAATCGACTAATATGGTTTGGTCATAAGCAATGGAGACCACTTAGTGCATCAATTAGGAAATATGATAGTATTAGAGCTAATGGGGCTAGGAGATCTAGAAGTAGACATAAAAGCACTTAGTTAGAATTAAGTAAGAAGGATATAATTATGATTAACTTAATGAATGAGATGTTTCATAATGGAATGTAATATAAAAATAGAATTCATGTAACCGGCCCAAAACATTTATGATAAATGGTTTGATATTGTTGTTATTGTTGTTGTTGATGATGATCTCCTTAAGCCTTCTTCCATTTGATTCTATTTGTCTAGGAATTACCTTTTTCACTATTTCACCGTTTGGATCCTATCCTTTGGTATCCGCTCTGACAGATTTGTTTTTGTTGTTTGTTCTTTTTTTCCTAGATGGTTGGTATATTCCAGAGTAGAGTGCTAGTTGAGTCGGGAACAATGAATTTTCAGGTATATGTTGGTTTTATTCGGTTTTGGAAATTAGTTTCAGCTTCAAATGTTTTCTCGCAAGATCTTGAAATATGATATTTGTCACAAATTCATATTTGGAAAAAAATAAGCATGCCAATTAGAGGCTTAAGTATATCAGTTAGATTCGATTGCCATCTAAGTGGTGTGCTGTCGATCTAGTCACGTGTCGTTTAGATGTTAGGGCATGACAAACATTCTCTCTCTACTTTTCTCTCTCTTCTCTCTAGGTCTCGGTTTTGACACGGAGAAAAAGGAAATGGCAGCCACCATAAACAATTCAAGGAGCTTAGGGTTTTTAATTTAATACACACTTGAATGTACTATTATATACAGGCATTATACATTATCTCTTAATATTCAATTCATGATCATTTGTTAGCATTTTCCTATTTTGTTCAACAAGGTAATCCCCTTCGTAACAAGTTCATTCTCTGATGAAAGGACTCCACTCAACTTCGACTCAAGTGCAATCTAATTTTTTTCGACGGTGAATATCTAAATCAAAGCAACTTGTTCGCGCGGTCAACAGAAACTAATAGCCAGCCTCTTCTGGCACCGCTTTCCAAAACATATATTATAATAAAGAATCTTGTAATATTTGTTTTCAAATTAATAGAAAGATTTTCAAATTTATCTTTTTTTTAACTTGAAAACACCTCTTTTTTCTCTTTTCCTGGCCGTTATTTATCACTCTCACTGTTTGCTCTCTGTCCGGCCCCTTCACCTCAGGGGCGGATCTATATACAGTCTAAGAAGGGCCACGGCTCCCCCAAAATTTTGAAAAAAAAGATAGGATGGTTTATGTAAAACTTCCTCCCTTAAAAATTAAAATATATTCATTCTTTATCTCAAAACTCATACGTCAAGACTAGGCTTCGAAGCAAAATGGAGGATGATTTCCTCTCAAACGCATTAATGATGTTTATTGAAAGAGAAATTGCTAAAAGTCTGAGCATTGATACTATCATTGAAGACTTTGAAAATTTTAAGGAACGTCGAATTCCTTTCAGTTAGAGAAGTTTTAGTTATAAAAAATTAGATGATACTTATTTGAATATTTTTTACATAATTTTTGTCTTCCTCTTTTTAAATGTTTTGGAGATATTGATGTTGGCTATTCTACTCGTTTTGTTTGGGTTGTGATGTATCTCTTATGAATAAAATTGCATTAAGAAAAATTTTCGTCTATCTTTTGTCTCCCCCCCACCCGGCCCCTCCGAACTGAAATCCTGGATCCGTCCCTACTTCACCCCTCAAAGGTAATCGTTTTATTAATAAAAATATAAAATGTAAGAACACTATTTTTCTACTCGTTACTCAACCACTGCCTATCTTTCTCACGTCTCATCTCCTTTTCCTCTTCCTTCGCCTTCTTCTTTATTAGTGAGTTCTTTTTAAAATATATTATTTAATATCTAAACCCGAATTTTGGATCGACGGTATCTAATCATGAATTATTTATTATGACATGAAGATACCGTTTGGCAAAGGGTTAAGTGAGGGGTTAAGGAGACTTAACCCTTTCTTAATCTGCCAAACACAACAAATTTATATAAGGGTTAAAGTGAGTTAACCCTCCATAATTTGCCAAACATAAAAAATATAGAAGAGTTAAGTTAACCCATCTAGAGGGGTTAAAATGAGTTAACCCCTCAAAATGAGGGGTTTACTAATACTCCTATTTAGATGGAATAAGAGTTAACCCTTCTAATTGTAAAGAAAATAGTCAAAATCATTGTTATTCCCAAACACTAAAACTGATCATAAGGGCTAAAATAAAACTTATTTAACGGGTTAATAATTTAGTCCTTCGGATTATCAAATAGGCTAAGTACATTAATCATTCTCTTTAACCCCTCTTCATTAACCCTTTGCCAAACGGGGCCTTCGGAATAACGAATCAATTAAAAGTAGTTATCAATTTCACTGAAGTATTAGAGGGAGAGAATCATGACAAAGGAGAGTAGAAAATGACGCCTACGTTTAACGTGCAAAGAATATTTTTTGGAAATTTGTCCCTTACATCATCCTTATTCTAAATTAACCCCTCAAATCATGGAATTGGTTATTAGGTCCCTCAATTTTTAAGTTATTGTCAAATTAATCCCTCAAATCATTGAAATTGCTATTAGGTCCTTTAATTCTTAAATTATTTTGAAAAGTTGACCAAATAAACAGTATAATTAGCAATTAAGTGGATTAATTTATAGTAACTAATCAAAATTGTGGAACCCAGTAGGAATTTTGATAATTCAAGTGACTAAGTTCCCAGTGATTGCTATTTCTATAATTGATTAGAGACTATTTTTAAAATAATTAAAGAGTTGTGGGACCCATTAGCAATTTCAATTGCATGACGAAATAATTTTAAAATACCTTTGGAATTGATGACCTAAGTAGCAAATTGCATGATTTGAGGGACTAATTTCCAAATAAGGAAGATGTAAGGGACTAAAGTTGAAAAAACCCAAAGAATAGGGTCATGTTTAGAACCTACTGCCTTCTTATTCTTGGAAGTAGAAAGGCTAGTACGCAAAATGTTCGGCCTTTTATCTATACTATTTTTAAAAGAGAAAACAAATGTCAAAATTTTTACATACCCATTTTGCTCTTTACAAATTTCTTAATTCTAATTTTATCCTATATTTTTATCCTTTTTTCCCTATTTTGCTCTTCTGTAATCTTTGTTTATTAAATTATTAGTATTAGTAAATAATTTACTCTTTCAAATATAACTTCCAACCTTCAAGATTCTCTTTAATTAATTTTTTTTCTATGCACATTAAACTCTCATTTAATGTTAATTTCACATAACCCTGCCATTTACTCTTCCAAATGTAACTTTCAACCTTTCAACTTCACTTTTATTTTTCTATTCTTGCATTTAAACCTTTTTACTCTTTCAAATAGGACAAATTTTCAAAATTAACCGATTTCGAAATTTAAATAGCAAAACCGACCTCATCGAAATTTAAATAGCAAAACCGACCCTTTTCTTTTGAAAAGGGTCGGTTTTGCTGCGGAAGATTTTTTACGACATACACGGGACTGCTAGTCCCGTGTATCGGGACTGCTAGTCCCGTGCATTTCATTGTGCCCTTGGTTCGTTGCTCTCTGTAAAATGCACGGGACTGCTAGTCCCGTGCATTTCGTTGCGCCTAGGAAGTGAACGGGACTAGCAGTCCCGTGCACTTCTTTTGTGACTCTCTGTAAAGTGCACGGGACTGCTAGTCCCGTGCACTTCCTGGGCACAATGAAATACACGGGACTAGCAGTCCCGTGTATTTCCTGCACATAATGTGCAGAAATATGTATTTCTGCTGCGGGAAAATTCCCCGTACAAACTCATTTCAAATGCAACAATCATAAATTACACCATTGCATAAACACATATATCAATTCCCTGTACAAACTCATATGTCAATTCCCTGTATAAACACATATATCAAATCTAAATATCATAAAATACACCACAAACTTACGAATCCAAATCCAACAAATCACGCCACAAACCCACTTACAAATCTAATAAGTCACACCACAATCTCAGCTACAAATCCAAAAACCATCTATTGTCCCGAAATACGTTTGTAATGTACATATCAAAATAGGATTGTAATTTATATAACAATACCAATTAGCTTACATACATCCAAGAACTCTTCTCCTCCTCCTTTGTCTTCGGCCTCCTCTATCCCGACCTTCGATGAGTTCATGATCCGGTTGCGTTTGTGGTTGTGACGGTCCAGCTCCATCGTCAACACGTTGGGAAGGCCCAGCTTCATTGTCGTTTCTGCGTCGTCCTCGTCTGTGTCGTTGTTGACGTGTGTATACTAATTGAGGTACTTCTCGTCCATCATGAAGGTCTTCATGAGTTCGATGTAAGGCTTGGTGAAGCCTCTGCATTATCGACTGATATATTGATGCATGTTTCTGTGCTTCGGGATATGTACCTGCGAGAGATAATTCAAAAAAATCCGAAATGCAAAAATTACTTTAAAATTCAAATTACAATATGTAAATTTTATATTTAATTCTATATTCCCTGCTCGAGCCAATTCCAAGCCACTATTTGCAATGGTTTGAACATCAACTATTGCTGATACCTGCAAATTTTTAAAAAAACATAATTTAGCAATATTGAAAAATTCTAATAAAAATAAACTTAAAATAAATTTAAAAATACTTACTAATTCTCTCTCATCTATACCCCGAGGCACATATCCTCTTAAAGTCAAATTTAAAACTCTAATCTAAACTACAAAGCAAATAATTGCTAAATTCCCTAATCCCAAATCACATTATTCATGTCTAAACCCTAATTATGGTTAAACCCTAATCTCAAATCACATTATTCATGTCTAAACCCTAATCATGTCTAAACCCTAATCTCAAATACATTCCCAAATTTCAACCTTAATCCCAAATCTCAACTACATTCCCAAACTAAATACATTGATTTACCCAAGCCTAACCTGCAGTAAGTTCCCAAATCCCAAATCCCAACCCAAATCCCAAATCCCAAATCTCAACTACATTCCCAAACTAAATACAGTGATTTCAACCATAATTCCTAAATCCCAACCCAAATCCATTCCCAAATCCGAAATTTCATGGCTAATCAAAAAAAAAAAAAAAAACACATTTACCTTGTCGGAGCAAACTTGGCCGGCGGTGGTCGGAGCAAACTTGTCCGGCGGAGGCGGTGGTCGGAGGGCGCTTGGTCGGCGGCGGCGGTGGTCGGAGGCGGCGGCG